TATCTTCCTTCATAACCCAATAATGGCCCAACCTGAGGGTGGTAATATCAAGTCCAATCAGCCTTACCCATTAAACATTGTTCGTCTGGGATTTTTTCTTAATTTTTCTTTTTTTACCTAAAGAAGGCAGAGAGATCCCATATATTCCACTGGCAATTTCTGCTGGCATTATCAACTCTCAGATTCCATTGGGGTCAAAACCAAAATTTGTTCCTTAATTAGGATCAAACAATATGAAGAAGCTGAAAGCTAGCTACCTCTCTCTGGTCATAGAATCATGGAATGGTTTGGGTTGGAAGGGACCTTGAACATCATCTAGTTCAAAATCCCCTGCCATGGGCAGGAACACCTTCCACTAGACCAGGTTGCTCAGGGCCCCATCCAACTCCACCTTGAACACTTCCAGGGATGGGGCAGCTACAACTTCTCTGGGCAACCTGTTCCAGTGCCTCATCACCCTCACAGTAAAGAATTTCTTCCTAATATCTAATTTAAACCTACCCTCTTTCAGTTTAAAGCCATTCCCTCTTGTCTTATCCTTACATGCTCTTGTAAATAGTAGGCCCTCTTTATGTACTGGAAGGCTGCTATAAGGTCTCCCCAGAGTCTTCTCTTCTCCAGGCTGATCAGGCCCAACTCTCTCAGCCTGTCTTCAGCCCTCTGATTATCTTCTTAGCCCACCTCTGGACTCGCTCCAACAGGTCCATGTTCTTCTTATGTTGGGGGCCCCAGAGCTGAATGCTGTACTCCAGGTGGGGTCTCACTGTTAAGGAAACCTTCCTGTCTGACCATTCAGGAGGTACTCTGTCAGTCACACTCCCACCACCAGAGACTTTAACTGCTAGGACTGAAGCCCCTTTGCAGCAGGTGGTTACAGTGAGCCAATGGGTGTCCCACTTGACTCCCTACATAGAATCACAGAATTGTTAGGGTTGGAAGGGACCTCTGGAGATTTATCTAGTCCAACCCCATGCCAAGGCAGGGTCACCTAGAGCAAGTTACACAGGAATGTGTCCAGGTGGAGGTTTAATTTCTCCAGAGAGGGAGAATCCATGACCTCCCTGGGCAACCTGTTCCAGTGCTCTGCCACCCTCAATGTAAAGAAGTTCTTCCTCATGTTGAGGTAGAACTTCTTATGTTTTAGTTTATGGCCATTGCTCCTCGTCCTGTCGCTGGGCACCACTGATAAGAGTCTGGCACCATCCTCGTGACACCCGCTTTTGAGATATCTATATGCATTAATGAGATCCTCTCTCAGTCTTCTCTTCTCTAGACTAAACAGGCCCAGCTCCTGCAGGCTCTCCTTGTAAGAGAGATGCTGTAGTCCCCTAATCATCTTTGTGGCCCTCTGCTGGACCCTCTCCAGTAGCTCCTTGTCTTTCTTGTACTGAGGAGCCCAGAACTGGACACAGTACTCCAGATGTGGCTTCACCAAGGCCGAGTAGAGGGGGCAGGATCACCTCCCTCGACCTGCTGGCCACACTCTTCCCCATGCACCCCAGGATACCATTGGCCCTCCTGGCCTCAAGGGCACACTGCTGGCTCATAGTTACCTTGTCATCCACTGACTCCCAGGTCTTTCTCAGCAGAACTGCTCTCTGGTAGGTCAGCCCCCAACCTGTACTGGTACTCGGGGTTATACCTCCCCAGGTGCAGGACCCTACACTTGCCCTTGTTGAACTCATTAGGTTTCTCTATGCCCAACTCTCAAAGTTCCACTGAATGGCAGTACAGCCTTCAGGTGTATCAGTCACTCCCCCCAGTTTTGTGTCATCAGCAAACTTGCTGAGGGTGCATTCTACCTCTTTATCCAGGTCATTGATAAACAAGTTTGTTGTGTTTTTATACACTCCACTCACACCCACTCAGACCAGGTTTCCTTACCAGTTCAACCCCAGGTTTCCTGTAGCACTGTCTCAGACATCTGGTTCCTTAAAGCAATTTATTCATGGCACAGTAACACAGAAACAGTTTGAGCTGGTGCCTCCAAAGAGGGACCCCAAACAACTGAATCTCTTGGGCTTTTATACCCTTCCAGTCTATCTGTGCGATAGTCTGAGGTCTTCCCACTGAGTCCTTGACTCCTGCTGTGTCTCTGAGTGTCCGGTCACCTGGCTGGTGCTACAGGTCCCCTTGCCCTTTGTTATGCAAAGTGTCAGAGCCATTTCATGGCCTCTTCCTGGGGCTCCCGCTATTTCCCACCACCTAGAGCTCAACCTGCAGCTTGTAAAGCAGCTGCACACTGAGCTACCTGCACTAAATGTATTCCTCAACATTCATGAGAGCTGAGTAGAGAGGGAGTTAGTCCACACTACCACCATTCTTCCAAGTACTACTAGTTGGAGACAGGTGTTGAGAAATATCTCTGCCTCAAAGCTTCTGTCTGCCTCAGAATTAAAAAGTTCTAGCAGTGCTAGACCTGATGTTGGTCTAAGACAAATCTTGGAGCAATTCCTAGTGAATTTTATTTAAAGCAACAGGAAGTTGGCTCCAGTCATGAGCCTGTGGAATTTTTCCTTTGAGACAAGAATGTTAGTTCTGTGTATGATTTAGAGTCACAGGATCAGTATCAAAGTTTTCAAACTACTTTTCCTTAAATTCTTTTCCTTAAATTCTGCTGTATTAGTATTCCTTAAGAATGTTAATAAAAACAGGCACACAAAAATCTTTTTGTAGACAAATGTCACATAGAGGTAGGAATGTTATCAGACACAGCTGTAGTTCTTCAACTTGAAATATGAAAAGCAGAAACTGAAAATTAGATTTCATGAATAAACAGTTTCTAGTTGGAACCCAATTACTAGGGCGTTTACTTGATTGCTCACAGATGTGTATGCAAGAAAACAAAATAAAGGGGATGTGCTCAATGTAGACCAAGTGGGAACACTATCAGAATAGTCCCCAATTTAAAAAAATTTCCAATGTCCCCATTTGAAAAAAGCTAATGATAAATGTGACGATGTTCCAAATGAGGTGCATGTTAACCAGTTAACCAGCTGATCAATGATTGTGGGGTTTTTTTCCATGATTTTGAGACCACTTTATATTTTTGTTTACCAAAGATTGAACCAAACTTAAAAGCTTGCTGAACAAAATAGTTACGAACTTTTGTCCCATGCAGCTTCAGGAGATCAGTCTAGATGATACTGTCAGAGTATGAATCCAAATAGTGATACTAGGTATATCTTAATATATCCTTCTGTAATTTATCTAATAACTGTTGTTTTCTTGGCCTCTCTAAATATTAAAGAAAATCAGTGTGAATTGCAAAGCTTGTATGCATAAGTGTATCTTTTGTGGTGTATCTTAAAATGCCTTGTCAATTAGTTTTTAACTTCCCTGTTTTCTTTGATGGTTCTTCCCGTCTGCTTTTCCTGCTCTATGAAGAGGTGATAGGAGTCATCTTTGACAGATAGGTTCTATGTTTATGTTGAATTAAGCTTTTACTTGCTCAATTTTTACTTTATTTTAACATGTGCTTCAGTATGTTTGCAACCATTATTTAATGTTCCATTCTATTCAAGATCAGACTCCGTAATGGCAAGTTCAGCAAATTTCATACATCTGTTTAAAACAACTGTTTTGTAAAATACTAAGAACTCTTCAGTGCGTTATAGAGTGATGCAAAGGTTTGCTGAGCATGAACTGCTAGAAAAACAATAGATATTAACTTTTTCATTTTGATTTTGACAACAGCTTGAGATTCATTTTGCACTGCTTGCTACTAAACCAATACAAATGTTAGCTTATGTATTCAGGAATTAAATTTCAGTCATGCTGAACAGAAATTCCAGTGATCTTAAGCTTGCAATGGTTATTTTTGAAGTTTGTATTGCTCAAGTTTATGCCTTTGTCTTAATATGGCTTTTCATTCAATTGGATTATTTTCCTGACTGAAGAAAATCTTAATACAGGATTAGTGAATTCAGTGTGTTTCCATTGTTATCACATATAAGTACAAGCATGTGAGGATGTCTCAGTTTAATGAGACTGAAGTGTTTTGCTAAGGAGGATGAGTTATGAGGAAGACCAAGCTCCTCCCTCTGAGCATTTGTAAATCCGAAATTAAGAGGCTCCAACTGAGGAAGTGTGGAGAAAGAAAAGATAACAGCCCTTTATTAAAGGATATATGAGTATTAGCAGAACAACAAAAGAACACAAAAACAACTAAACAATAATCCTGTACCCAAAAGTCCCCTTCTAAAAAGGAAACAGTTCAGTACTTTCTGTCTTTTGGTGCAATTCTAACCACAATCGGGAGGGGGCACTGTTGGCTCTCTGGAGGAGCAGAGCCTGCAGTTGCTCGGTGTTGGTCAGCAGGGGACGCTGTTGGGCTCTGGCGGTCACCACATGGGGGCCCTGGTGCACGGGTGAAGCCAAAAATGGATATCTCCCCCCACACACATCAAGAAGGGAAGGGGGAAAAGGGGAAAAAGGGGTTCTTCCCACGAACTCACACTGTCGGCAGCTGACTCCGGCCAGGACTCCCCCAAAGGTTCCTTCGCAGAAGGGTCAAGCCTCTCCGATGAAATCTGAGCAAGTCCAGGCTGGGGGCAGAACAGGGCACAGGATAACAGAGGCGAACTGGGGCCAGAAGCAGTCAGATGACCTGGCTGAAAACCAAGTGAACCCAGAGCCTTTCCACACACACATACCCTGCCTGAGTCAGGACAAAAGTGCTATGCCTGCTGTTTCCGAGGAGAGAAAAAAAACCAACTCCCCCCAGTCTTCGGAGGGCCATCAGCTTGGAATGTGGATCTGCTGGCTAGTTCTTTTGTGTGGGTCAATCATCCAAGGCAAACTGAAACATGAATTTTTTTTGCTTTTTTACTATTACTTACTATTACTTACTTACAGTTCATATATTATTGGTCATATATAATGTTAAATTCAGGGATATTTACTTAGTTGTGTCAGATAATTTTAAGAGCTTTCTGGTTTCATGCAGTTCCTGAGTTTATTATTTTTCTTTGATGATCTTGAATTTCTTGGTCCTCCAGAGAAAGGCGTAAAAGGAAGAGTAGAAGTCTCTCCAAGTCTCCTAAAACAACAAAAAAAAAGTCTTCACAAACTCCTTCTCCAACAAGGTCAGTTTGATATAAACATTAAAATTAATGGGCAGTAAAGGAGGAAAAAGTTATAGTATTTCTGTTAAATTGAAATGTGATATAGAGATCAGTGTTATGTAAGGAGCTAACTCAATTTCTGTTTCTTCTTGGGGTTTTTTTTTGTTGTTTTTTTGTTATGGAAGAATCTCTAGTAATAACTTTCTCAGGAAAAGATCTATTTTTCAATAAGCAGAACACTCAAAGGTGGATGCAGATACATATATTGAAAACAATTTAGGAAGTATTTTCATTGATATACTGCCTTTTCATTAGTCATCTCAGATAATTTCAATTGATCAGTATGATTCAGTTCTAATTTAAAACAGACCAAAAAGCCCTTTATGGATTTGATCTTTCGTATGCTTTCAACTGGAGAGTTTTAAATCTGCTAGCGATGCTAATTTGCTTCAAATCAATAAAAACCCTTCATTGGATACAGATTAATTTGGTTTCCTCTTTTCAAATACCATGTATGCTGAACACATGCATTCTTTAGCTGCCTTCCTTTGTCTTTATGAAGAGGTTTTTATGTTTGAAAGTGACTAAACCTTTCTGAAAGAAAGCAAACCAGGATACCAACTTTCGTATTTATTGTGCAATTTACTGTACAGTACAGTTAGAGTATGCATTGGTAGTACATTTGTTGCTGTTGGATCAAATTCTGATTTGAGTAACAATTTTCTTAAACAGAAACAAGAAAGAAAAAAAAAGAGAAAAAGATAAAAATAATGAAAGAAGAGAAAGGGAATACTCCGCCTCCAAGAAAAAAATTAGTAAAGAAAAAGAGGGAAAGGAGAAATCTGACAAAAGCACCACTACTTTGAAGGTAAGCTGTGTGACCAAGTGATGAGTGCTGTAAATGGAATAATTACTGGAATTTCCTCCCTTCTTTATCTTTCTTTTCCTCACCCTTCTTTTCCCCCTGTTTTGCTTATCAAAGTATTGCCACTTGGTAGAGCTTGTGTGAATAGGTTACTGAAACACTTTGTTTTGGTTTCTCTTTTCTGTTCTGTGCCATATGTTACGAGTTTGCGGGCTGCCTATCTGTATGAGCAGGCATAAAGGAGATTGTACAACTAAGCGTCAGGGTTCAGGGTTAGTTTGCCTGTGTCCTGGTTTAACCCTGGCCAACAACTAAGTGCCATACAGCTGCTTGCTTGCTCACTCCTCCCTGATGGGATGAGGGAGAAAATCAGAAGACAACTTGTGGGTTGAGATAAAGGCAGTTTATTAGGTAAAGCAAATTCTGCACACGCAAACAAAGCAAACCAAGGAATTCATTCACCATTTTCCATCAGCAGGTAGGTGTTCAGCCATCCCCAGGACAGCAGGGCTCCATCATGCATAGTGGTTACTTGGGAAGACAAACACCACTGCTAAGAATGTCCCCCTTTCCTCCTCCTTCCCCCAGCTTTTAATTCCTATGAATAAAATCAACTCTATCCCAGGCAAAACCAGCACAGATTGTCAATCTGAAAAGATTTTTAATAAACTTTCACTCTGCAGTTCAGCCTCTCCCTGGTTGCTTTGGTCCTGGACTGCATATCTGACTCTGCAGGAGTAAAGTTGAAGATTTGAGGAAAGAGTAGTATGGGATTTTTGCCTTGCAAAATAGAAAATGGTGTGATTAAGAAAAAAAACATCTTCAAATGTTTAATCTTAGAATTTGAAAAGCAGCATGCTTCTAAAGAGTAGTTTGTGGTACTCAGAATTGTTCAACTGTTATAAAACAGCTGATTTAGGTGACTGTCCACATGCTTAAGTAACTCAAGAACTCTCTTAAAATTTATCAGTTACCTGACAAAAAATATAAAAGAAAAATTATAATTCTGTTTTATTTAAAAAATATGTTGAAGTCCTAATTTCTGGAGCTGTTTCTCATAGGTGCCATGATGCTGCTTGTTCTGTATTACCTGAATATTGATCATACAGATGAATTTATCGTAATGATTTCTTGAATGACAGGTTATTATGAGTGCCTAACTTCAGCCAATTAAAAAGAAAAGCTTTTTTAAATTAAAAATGATTTGATTTAAAAATTTTTAAAAAAAGCTGACACCTCTATTCTGAACATGGCTGAAACAAGGTGTGTAAAGATTGAGACAATCAAAATACCAGTAGTTGGTTGGAAGTCATATCCTGTAATGCTAAGAGTGATTTTTTTTTAAAAATAACTTTATCTTTTGTAGGACAAAGATCACACTGAAGAGGATCTGAATTCAGAAACTGACAAGGAAGTAGGCAATAGAGATACAGAAAGGACTGATGAAATCAAACTACAACAGAATGGGAACTGTCAACCAAATGATGAAAACCTCTCAGTTAAAATGGAAGAGTTTTAAAGCAAAGAACTCTGACTCAACTAAGGGATGAAATCTGAAGCTTTTTATTTTCCAGAACGAAGAAGAAAATGTCAAAGTAATCAACCTGAACGTGGTGATAGTACTAGCAGCTCTCCCAATTGTAGTGATAGCTTTGTCGACTTCTTGCTATAAAGCAAGAGAGCACCAACCAGTAGTTATACCATGAAAAGGCAGATGCCATCAGAACTATTCATGTCTGAAAACCCATGGTCTCCAAGATGGCTGTACTTATTTGTAAAATGATTTATGTTAAGTTTTGCCATAAGCTGTTACAAATAAGTGGAAACTGAAAAAATGTAAACCTGTACTATCAAAAAAAAAAAAAGCTGAATATATGCATTGAAGATTGTTTAAAATACTGCTTGTTGATGAATTTTGTATTGGTTTACTTTTCTGGTTAAAAAAATCCACAAAAACTTCAATGTGTACTGTTTGATGTGCTTGGAAATGGTGCATAAATATACACACTTCCTTTAGTTGTTGTCCTGGGTTACACAAAAATTCTGGTATTCACCTTTTTCCACCTTTTCTCTTTTTCCCAAATGTGCCTACTAATTTGGACTATGATGGGAACTTGAGATAAGGCTGGTACTATTATCCTAGGAGAAGAATGTATCCACAAGTGTGAAAGACTGGAATGCTGATGACTCAGACATTTCAGGTGCAAGGTGATGATGTGCAAAGTAACCACCCAGGTGCTGAGGGCCTGCACACCTGCCACTTCAGGCTACGAGCTGGGTGTTGTTTCTTTGTCCTTACACAAATGACTCAGTTGTGATAACTCCCCTCCGGGGAAGCATCAAGACAATTCACACATAGCCTGAAGATATTAATTTCTGCTGGTAGACCATAATGGATCCACCTGTGCTGACATAACAGGCAACTGTAACATCTTAGAAGGTGTCAAAGACTCCTGAAATCCAGTATTACATCATCCAGTGTAGAACTCCCTGCCCCAGGGGAGGTACTGGGGGCATTCCCACCTAGCCTAAGCCAAATAAAAGACCACACTCAGACTTCACTCAACATGGTGTTTTCTTCCCTCACCACCTGGGACTTTCCTTACCACCCTGGGGCTTCCACCACCTCCTCAACAGATCTGGACTGTGACCACCACTTCAACAGGACTACAACCACCACTTTGACCAATGAACTTTGAAATTGCAACAACCGAGTCTCATCACTGGATCCAATGGGTGTCTTGTGGGTCCTTCCAGTCTCCTGGGGGGTCCGCAGCCCTGCTCTGACTGCCTGTACAAGCACCACAGCCTCACTCCAGTGCTGACTCTCCAACTGTTCCTGCCAGGTTTTCTGGGTGTGGGGGAGGTGAACCACATGGAAGGGTGGCCATCTTGTCTCTGTCCTGTGGCCACATGTGGTTTTTTTCTGGGTGGGGGAGGCTGTCCACCATCTTGATTTGGTCTGGTGGGTAGGGCTTGGGAAGTTTCTCCTGATCGGTTGGTTTAACCCAGTTCTATCAGTATTGTTATTAGCATTCTTTTGGTAAAGAGTTATTTTTTTCACTTACATCTCAGCATACTTGGTCTCTCTTTCTGTGTTGGAGAAACCAGGGGTATTGAATCGGAGGGAGGAGATGTCTGTCTGAGGTCTCCGCCTCTCCAACTTGTCTCAAACCAAGACAGTTGTAAATGAAAATTATTTTTAAACAAACACACTTTTATGGTTCTTATGTTAAATGCCCACTGACTAGTTTGTTTTCCATTTGCTTACTGCTTGAGATTCTTGGGGTTAATTTTAAAAAAAACTTACTGTTATCCTTAAAATGAACGTTTCTTTTAAAGTACTTGAACAATACATGATACTTTTGTGTTCCAAAAAGGAACATTTCCATGTTATAGATATTAACTTAGCTTATTGGGTTATTTTGGGGTTGTTTTGCTTTTTTGTTTATTTTTGTCCATCCAGAAGTGACCACATCTGTATGATATTAGAACTTAGAGCTTTGTTTTGAGCTGTACTGCAGCGTGTCTGTTCAGCTGAAAATACTACAGGTGCCATTATGAAAATATTTTTTTTTATTTGTTTAAAAAATATGGGAGCGGGAGCAGAAGCTTTAGTGCCTTCTTGAAATAATGTGTTATTCTCTAGAAGTGTTTGTGCTATTACTCATTTTCATTTAAATCTTACATTATCTCTGTTGGTATTTGCCATCACAATACTGTAGACAAGAACGCAAGTTATTTGTCAGAACTTGTAAAAAATACTAAAACTCAATTTTTATGTTTTTTTTTTTTAGAAGAGATTTATAGGTGAAAGCAAAGATGCATTTGGGGAACCACTACTGTACAAAAGCAGTAGCTGAATACAAAGCATTTTCTGATCACCTGCATCAAAGACAACCCTTTAGACATTTAATTTACACTTGGATGGCCTTAATTGTTACCTCTCCATCATCATCTCTGATACCTGATTGGTGATATAAAAGGAATCGTATGCAAAGCTGAGGGGATAAATAATTGAGAAAAAAAGTTCTAATTTACAGAGGAGTTATATTCTGTTTCCATTCTTTAAAGACAAAGCATGTAAGAAGAGAATGACAAAGCAGATATTTTTGTCAAGCTAAAACATGGCTTGTGTAACTAATTTAATCAGTTTCATCAGCGTGAGGTTTCTTAACTCATACCTTAAAAATTTATACCTAAAATCAAGTAGATTATTTTTAAAACAATACAATCAAATTACTTAATTGCCTTATCTAATGGGAAGTTATATCTTTCAGTTAAAAGCAATTAATATCATATTAGCAATTTGTTTTCAATTTGGTTTTATTTTCCTTTGCATAGGTAATTCTTACTACAAAAAAAGGCATATTACAGGGAGTGAAAAATAACCCAATTTGACTGTAAGCTGCTTAATCACTTTTTTTTATAGGATTTTATCTTCATGAGACTGTGTACATTTATAACTATTAAAAATGCTTTACCATGTAAAGTATAGACACTCGTTTTTGAGATGTTTAAACTACTTGCTGTTGACTGGTAAGCAACTTATTCTGATAAAAGAATGAAAAATATGTATGCTTATAGAAAGACTGTGAAGGATTGTCTTGCAACAACAACTGTTTTATTTATGATGTGTGAGTAGCATAGAGTAAAGAAATTCTTTGTATACTTGTTATCCTTGGTACCATTTCACTAATAAAATTAAATAAAATTTAGAGGGAAGTTTCTGCTCTTACATACTTTCAGTTGATCTGGTCTTAGGCAGGTTCTTTGATTTGAAATGGGGATACAAATGTAAATATACAGGTATTATTTATAATATCTTTGAAAAGCTAAGTTTCTCATTTGGGAGAAATTAGAATTCTTGCAACATATCACATTTCAGGTGAGATTAGTTTGATTTCCTGAGTTTTGTTATTCTGAAATTGCATAGCTCTATTATATAGCAATTACAGAATATGTAAAGGATTGTGTACAATTAGCTAAGAAACATGCCTTTGAAAATTAATAGTTAAGGATGGAAGCCTTAATAGCTAATGTATCACATGTGTAAGTCAATATGCAGCACATTGTTATATTGTATGTGAATTAATGGTTCCCTTACAAAATGTTTTGGGTTTTATGGGTTTTTTTTTAATAAAAAAGGCAAACAAAAGCCAATCCACCAAGCACATAAATTCCCTCCACACCCCAAGTCATATTTTCTTACAAATGCTGTATTTTCCGATTTTCCTTTGTAAATACTACGCAGATTTCACAAGTTGTTATATCTATTGGTATTGGGGGATTTAGTTTCCCTCTTCCTAAAAAGCCACCACTAGAGAAGTATTCTGTAAAATGCCTATCTCTGCAGAGGGTAGCTAATTTTTAAACCAGTAGCATAGCACAGTAATGAAGTTCCTGCTTGCTCCACCAGGATTGTGTGCATCATCCATTAAATGTGTACATCTTCCACTGAAAGTTCATTGCCTTCATCATTAATAAATTTGCATGCTGCCCTGCCAGATCGGGTTATTTGCTTTTGCACTTTTATAAATGAGATGAAATTGAGTGGAGGTTTTGAGAACAGTGTAGTTCATGATAGTTGTATTGTTTCAAATGTAATTTTATTTGAATCAGCCTTTATTTGAAAATGCCATGATTCATAATTGCCCAGAAAAATGATGATATGGTGCCATTTTGCTAAGATTATTGTAAAGAACTTATGTGGAAGCTTCCATTAGTGACCACAGTTATTTCACAATGGTGTTTCCAGAAAGCAGATAGGATTTTATTTTGGATTTTAAGAGGAAGGTAGCAGAAGACAATTGCTGGTGGATGAAGCAGGATTCCAAGCTCAAAATAGAGGTGGCTATGGCTTAGATAAATTCATTGAAGTAAATGGCAAACCCAGATGTGAAGGATGAATTTCTGTTTGCAAACACTGTTAGTAGTATGGTGTTAAAAAATCTTGGTTTTCAGATTTCAGATTTAGAAGTAAGAGGGGAAAAAAGCACCTAAGTTGTAAACTAGAAACATCCAAAAAATGCCTGAGAAATTGATGAGACATGAGTTATGCCTACTCAGTAGTTGCCTGCTAATTTTTTTAATTGCAATTTCAGATAGATACATCTGAAGTATCTGTAAATTATCTGGCTAGCAATGGCAACCTACATACAGCTTGGACTCTGAAATGAGCTGACCATTTGAATGCATTTACTTTGCTGCTAAGAAGGTAAACTGTAGTCTGAAGCATGCTTGTATTGCTTGCTAGTGTTCTCCAGCTCAGGTACATCTAAGGCAATACCTGAAATTAATTTGAAACTGCAAATCTCTTTGTTACATGGTGGCTTATCTGTGTTGCCCTTAGCTTGAACTGGTATTTTGTAATAGTTTTCAGATTTAGGGATTCCTGTGATTTTTCTTTTGGTCCGAGGAAGACATAATAAGTAAAGACTGCTTTGTATGATAAAAATTATTTTATACTGCATACTTATCCTTATTGCTGTGACTGGTTATTTTTTCATTAATGTGTAT